TGCATATGCTTTGAGGACTCATTCCCTAAACATCCACATTCAGGGCCTACAACCTGCACACACGAGAAGGGCCAGGATGCAGGGATTGGGAGTTGGTTCAGTTTATGTTGTGTTGAGTCAGAGAAAGGAGCATCCCAGGACTTTTCCCGCCATCAGCTGTTCCCTCCTACTCTTTCCTGTCTGAGCTCTGGCTCTCCTCCCTGTCTCACCATGAATGCTTCCCATCATATCAGGGCATCTCCCTTCCCTTAAAATAGGTAGTGAGCACCTGTTGTGTCTCAGATGCAGACAAATCAGAGGTATCACTCTCCTCAGGGAGTTCATAGTCTGGCAGGTCACTGAGATAAAAATAAAAGCAGTAATATGATCTTACGGAGGAGAAGGAGAAGGAGCCTTGCCACGGAGCATAAATGGCATATCCAGCTTACGTGTCATGGGGACTCAGGTCCCTCAGTAGCCTGCTGTGGGGTCTGATGTTCTAGTCTCAGGCTGTGCCTTTGGGTTAAGTATTGCCCTCTTCTTGCAACTGCCTTCCAAGATGAATTCCCACCTTCACATCCCTCAGACTCCGGGATATGAAGCTCTCCTCCCTGTCTGGAAGGGTTAGGGTTGCACTAGAGCACAAGCTTGCTGGGAGCTGGGCAAGGAGTATTATTTGAGGAAGACATAGAAGGACAGATTGGAGGCTCCCGTGACGTGCTTCCCCATGGTGAAGGTCAGCTCTTAAGAGGGTGAACCAGAGGCAGTGGCTGACACGCCCAGGTTGCCTTATGACTTCACGCCCTGGAGGAGGTCAGAAGCCTCATTCCTGAACCGTCTGCAGAACTTTGAACCTGTAAGGGAAACTGCCGCTCTCTACATTTGGATCTGCTCAGTTTTACAGCTAGGGAAACTGAGCCCAAAGAAAAGAAAAATGATCGGGTCTCTCCCTTAAGATTCCCTTAATCTTTCATTTACTCCTGTTTTGCACAATGACACTGGAACATGTATACCTCCCTTGATCAAATAATTCCACTTTGAGAATCTATCTAAAAAAATAATCCTAACCAAAGAAAAGGCTTTGGATACAAAGAGAGGTTCATGATAGCATCGTTCAAATGAAAAGTGCAAAATGAAGAGAGAACAGGCCAAGTAATTCTCCTCAATGGAAAACAAGTTGCAGTATCTCCACTAAAAATTATAACTCAGTCCAACTTTTTTTTTTTTTTGAGACAGAGTCTCGCTCTGTCACCAGGCTGTGCAGGGGCGTGATCATGGTTCATGGCAACCTCCCCGTCCCGGGTTCAAGTGATTCTCCTGCCTCAGCCTCCTGAGTAGCTGGGACTACAGGCATACGCCACCACACCCAGGTAATTTTTGTATTTTTAGTAGAGACGGGGTTTCACCATGTTGGTCAGGATGGTCTTGATCTCTTGGCCTTGTGATCCTCCCACATCGGCCTCCCAAAGTGCTGGGATTACAGGCATGAGCCACCGCACCCAGCACCAGCTTTTTAATAAGCGGGAAAATTCTAGTATAATATTGGAAGCGGGGGAAAAATTTTAATGTGAGCCTATGTGAAAAAAGCAACTGCCTAGAACTGAGAGTGAAAAGAAAAACCTTGGTTTTCCTGTGTGTTCTGCTAGTTCCTTGAACATTTTTAAGCAGCTATTATAGGTAGTTAGGTTACAAAATAGTGTCCTCAAAGAGGCTTTCCAATTGGAAAACGTTAAAATTGCATTTTTAAAGTTTCTTTTTCTGTTATTTTATTTTGTGTGTGGGACAGGGTCTCCCTCTATTGCCCAAGTTGAAGTGCGCTGGCACAACCACAGTTCCCTACAGCTCCCAACTCCTGGGCTTAAGCAATCCTCCCACCCCAGCCTCCTGAGTAGCTGGGACTACAGGCACATGCCACCATGCCCAGCTAATTTTTTCAATAAGATACAAGGCCTCCCTATGTTGCCCAGGCTGGTCTTGAACTCCCGGCCTCAAGTGATCCTCCTACCTCTGCCTCCCAAAGTGTTGGATTACAGGCATGAGCCACCACAATCCGTCAAAAATTTGATTTTTAAAGGATGACACTGGGAAGCCAACTTACCAGGAAAGGAAAGGTAGTTCCTAGCAGCTGGGGCAGCTTGTCGCAATTAGTACAAAGGCCACTATCAGAGCCACTCTTTCCTCAGATGATCCCTTAGGACCTCGGTTAGACCACCAAGTATTCACTGGGATGTAATCACTCAAAAAGATTTACTAAGCATTTACTGGCACTAACAGTGACAGGCACTCTTGGTTTCTAGGGATACAGAAGCAAACAAGGCAGATGGGGTCCCTGCCCTCGTGGAGCACGCAGTTTAGTGATGGAGGCATTAAATGATTCCAACCATGATTATCATGAACTAGGACAGAACCACAAGGAGTTCCCTATCAATTTGGAATGGGTTTGGTTGTCACTATAGTGATGAAAACAAACACTTGATCTTTTCCATAAAACAAGTCTAGGAATGTGCAGCCCAGGGCGGGAACAATGGCTCCCACAAAGTCCTCAGGGGCTCAGGCTTTTGCTATATTTCTGCTCTCACATCCTTAGCACACAGGCCCAAAATAGGTGCTGGAGCTCCAGCCATCACATTTGTGCTCTGCGTAAAAAGAGGAAAAGGTCCAAAGAACAAAATACAAAAAGAAAAAATATGTGTCGACTCCTTTTCAATTTCCTGGAAGGCTTACTCAGCACCTTGCTAGCTGCCAGGAAGGCTGTGAAATGTGGTCATTTAACTGTACATGTTTCTTCTTTGTTAAATGAGGAGTTGTGACAAAAGAAGAAGGTAATCGTGGATGTCAGGAAGGAACCAGAAATCTATGCCCCAGATGATGTAGGAATGAAGTGCAGAGAGATTGATTCAACCAAGTCAAGGTGGGGGGTCAAGGCTGTAAGAGCTCAGTTGAGGCCTGAAGGCTACATGAGATCCAGACAAACAGAAGGGTTGGGAAGAATTCTAGGCAGAGGACAGCTCTGATGTGAGCTCAACAAGGCAGCAGAGAGAGCTGTGGAGAGGGTCAGGAGACCTGGCTGTAAGTCCAGGCTGTGCAAGAATATTATGTCCCTTTCAGAGCCTTTCCAGCTGTAAAGTGAGAACTCTGCACTCAGATCCTGTGAAATATTTATTAGGACCTCTGCAAGGCTATGCTGGGGCAGGGAGAGGGCACAGCGCTTTATGCCACAGCCCTGTTCTCTTAGGGCTTACAGATGAGATGGACAGAGGAAACTCATCCTGTTTGGAAGCTGTAAGGAGAGAACTGAATCAGGCACAGAAACCAAGCTCCCACAGAGGGTTCAGAGTTCATATCTGGACACCCTCAGGGTCAGACATGGCCTTGCATTCACCTGGGTCATTCCACTGCTGGGCCAGCGTTCCCCCTGCAGGCACAGAGGAAACGGTCACACACATCCCTGAAGGCCTCTCCTTGACATGATTCTTAATGAAGCCGAGTTGTGGGGCTGGGATGGTGGGATGCAGGGGAACGCAGAGAACCAGCTCTCACCAAGCACGTTCTGCATGTTCATTGTCATCATCGCTCCGTCAGGTAGGTAGCCATTATTCCCATTTCACAAATGAGGAAGCCAGGCTCAGGGAGGTAAAGGGACTCGTCCCCATGATGGTTCTGAGTGACTGTGAACCCTGAATCAGAGGAGGCTGAAGGGAGCCCTCAGAAAACCCCAAAGCCTGTGACTGCAGAACTTCGGCCAAGCATCCCCTTGGGGCTCAGTTTCCTCACTATAAAATGAAGTCACCTCAGCTGTGGTAATGACAGTTGTGGCCGCTCCCATGCACCCAGCACCTACCACACGCAGGTGCCTTCCCCTCCGCTTTGTTTCATCTCCACAACAACCCCCTCAGTCGGCCCCAGTTTACAGACAAGGATGGAACCCCAAGTCCTCTGCAGCTCTGACCACCGCCACAGCCTGCCTCTGAAAGATCCGAAGAAGACCATTCCTTGTGCCAGGGTGGACACCGCCACCACTTCCCCTTGTCCTTGCTGGGCATCGGGAGCAGGGCAGGCATGCAGACATGCCCCTGGCTAGTGGAGCAGCTGTGCGAAGACACCAGAAGAAGCCTATCACATTAACTATTCAGGTCAAAACACCTTCCTATGTTTAGACAAATTACAATCCATAATTAGTTGCCATCACAGTGGAACAAGCCCGCTGTGGTTTTAAAATCACAGTGACTGCTTTATTTAGCTACAGCGGTTGCAGCCAGGAACCACTCACTGGGTTCAGTCTCAAAGAAAATGTCTGCGCACTGGCTTTCCAAATTTCTCTTAGCCAGTCCCCTCCCAGCTCCACACACATACCCCTGACCTCCACGCTATGCCGCCGTCTTAAGCCAGGGTCCCCACACCCATCCTTAAACTCTGAATTCTATAGTTTGTCCTTCCCTTTCTGTGCTTCTAAACCTATCCATCCTTTAAAGACTAGCCTGGGGTCTCCTCCTCCTCCAGGAAGCCATCCCTGACTATCTCACCCCCACCAGCCTCTCCCACCTCTCCACTCCCATTGCTTTTTCATGCACTGCCTCACTAGCTCTCATATGGGGGCTTCGAAGAGAGAAGGAAGGGAAGATAGTTAGTGGAATAGGAGAGAGAAAGATGTGCCACAACCCCAGCCTTCGTGCTGTGTTCCTGTGCTCTAGGGAAGAGGGAACAAGGGGAAGGAGGAGGGAGGGCTGACAGAGCCAGGTCAGAGGATGCTGACTGCTCTGGTGTGCTGGAGCTCTACATTCTGGAGGATTGTGGAGAAGAGGCAGAGGTGCGGCATTGGGCAAAACCAGGTTCTTTCATGCAACTCTGAGCTAAGAGTGATTGGCTGTCAAAGACCCCTGATTGGCTTTGCAAAGCCAGGACTTCCAGAACATGGAGGGGCAAGGACACGGGGTTCACGAGGTGCTGGGACACATTCAGTAACTCCCTTGCCAAACACTAGAGGAAATGTTAGACTTTTCTTAAGAAAGCACAACTCCCGGCCTCCCTTCCCCCAGCCCCTGCACCCCACCCAAACGAGAGTTTCCGGAGCCCCGGCTCGGGCGGTGTCCCGGGTGTAGACGCTGCTGGTCAACCCGACCCAGCCGAGGTTCTCAGCACCGCCTTGAGAGCTTCAGCTGCCCAGGATTAGAATCCCAAGAAAATCAAATGGCATCTGGGGATTTCTGCTCATTTGGAGAAGGCATAGAAATACTTCAGCGAGAAGTGTGCAGGAAACAACTTCCTCCTTGTAAACTGAGTAAAGAGGACCTGTTACAGAACCCATACTTCAGCAAGCTTCTACTGAGTCTCTCACAGCACGTGGATGAGAGCGGCTTAAGCCTCACCCTAGCAAATGACCAGGCTCAGGCATGGAAGGAAGTTCGACTGCATAAGACAACATGGTTGAGGTCTGAGATTTTACATAGAGTCATTCAAGAGTTGCTTGTGGATTACTATGTGAAGATGCAAGATACAAATTTAACTTCTGAGGACAAAAAGTTTCATGAGACCCTTGAACAACGGCTACTTGTAGCTGAACTGACTCGGCTCTTAGGTCCTAGCCAGGAGAGGGAGATACCTCCACTGCCAGGGCTGGAGGAAGCAGACCTTCTGGAACTCATACCACTCTCCGAGGATTTTGCGTGGATGAGGGCTCGACTACAGCAAGAAGTAGAGGAGCAGCTCAAAAAGAAATGTTTCACTCTCCTCTGCTACTATGATCCCAACTCAGATGCTGACAGTGAAACTGTGAAGGCAGCAAAGGTGTGGAAACTCGCAGAGGTCCTGGTGGGTGAGCAGCAGCAGTGCCAGGATGCCAAGAGCCAGCAGAAGGAGCAGATGGTGCTGCTGGAGAAGAAGAATGCCACCTACTCCCAGGTGCTTCTCCGCTGCCTCACTTTGCTGCAGAGCCTTCTTCAGGAACACCAGCTGAAGACTCAATCTGAGCTAGACTGCATCAATGCCCAGTACCTGGAAGTCAAGTGCAGTGCTATGATCCTTAAGCTGAGGATGGAGGAGCTGAAGATTTTGTCTGACACTTACACTGGTGAGAAAGTGGAAGTTCATCGTCTGATTAGGGACCGTTTGGAGGAAGCCATTCACCTACGGGAGCAGGAAATGGAGAAATCAAGACAGGTCCTGAACTCCTATGAGGTACTTGGGGAGGAGTTTGACAGGCTGGTGAAAGAATACACCGTACTCAAACAGGCAACTGAGAACAAGCGGTGGGCCCTCCAGGAGTTCAACAAGGCCTACTGTTGAGCTCTGGAAGGGCCAGGAAGCATGGCTTCTGCACAGCTGCTGCCTCCTAATCTTCCTGCCAGTAGGACCACCTTCACCTGGGGCTGCCTTCACTACAAGGGAGTGTGGGAATGCTTGTGCTTACTTGACACACTGTAGTCAGTTAGGCACCCTCCCTCCTGTTTCTTTTTCTTGTTTATAATGACTGGGCCTCTTCTGGAAAATCTAGCAAGTAGATTTATATAATTTTTATGCATAGCTTTTTGTCAGTGTCAGCCCTGTATTGTATTTGATTATCTAATGAATAAAATTATGACATTGTAAAAAAAAAAAAAAAAGAAAAGAAAGCACAACTCCATACATTTCTGCCCAACAGACTTTTTAAACAGGAATCTACTGATGAAGTCGGGTGTTCAGGGCTTAGGATTCCTGTGACGCTGAGAGATGGGTCCACTAACAGTCATCCTGGCCCATGGAGGCTGGGGACAGGCAGCCCAGAGGAGAGCATCCCAAGAGAAGCTGACGTTTCCGAGAGATGCTTCCTTCTCTCCCCGTTGCCTAGAGAGTGACCTCTCCACACTGCTGTCTCTCAGACTTCCACGCCCAGGACTCCCAGCCCAGGCTCCAGGACAGACACACCTAGAATTACAGGGTGATTTCAGAAATTGGGCATTCCGTTTTAGTCTGCTGGGACTGCCATAACAAAATACTGCAGACGGGGCAGCTTAAACAACAGAAATTTGTTTCTTTACCAATTCTGAAAGCTGGAGGTCCAAAATCAAGGTTCCAGTGGATTCCATTTGTGGGGAGCTGCCTTTTCCTGGCCTGTAGACGGCTGCCTCCTCCCTGTATTCTCACATGGCCTTTCCTTGGCATGAGAGCACATGGATAGAGGGAGAGATTGATACTTATAAAGGCACCAGTTCCATCAGGTCAGGGCCCGACCTCTATGACTTTATTTAATGTTTATTATTCCCTTAAGGGCCTCATCTCCAGTTACAGTCACACTGGGGGTTAGGGCTTCAACATATGAAGTCTGAGGGGACATAAACATTCAATCCGTAACACATTCCAACCTCTTTCTTATCCTAACCCCTTCACAACCTTCCTGGTAGAGTAGCTGTCCAGGGACAAGATTATTATCCCACGCAACAGATGAGAAAACCGAGGTGCCAAGGAGTGGGCCACTCCCAGGGGCCCGAGCCAGGGTGACCAAGAAAGAGTACCACGCTCTCGTGATGCTTGGCCCAGTGCTTTTCCACCTCTGGGTTCTATTCTGTTTCCTGTTCCCATGGGGACCAGTTTCAGCTGCTTGTCCACTGACACCACTCAATATGGCACCTAATGACGGCTTAAGGCATTAGCAAGAGTCCAACATTCTAGACTGTAAAATGGAGTCCCCTCTGCAGTGCTCATGACGGTTGTGGCAGCTCCCGATGAAAGGCACGCACTGGTGAAGTGGGTTGAGGGGTTTCAGGTTACTTCCTGGGGCCTGAGCCTCCTTTTGCGAAAGTCAGGTTGAACTAGCTTCCCTGTAGCTCCCACGTTCTGTGGTCCCATAAAATGTTTCTAATAAGGGGGAAGTGGAGTCCAACAAATTCTGTACAGCGTCCATTTGTTTTTTATAAGGGTAAGGTCAAAGGACTGGGAGAAAAGGACCAAAAAGCCATCCCCACTGACTCCAGTGAGGTGGGGGAAGAACAAGAGCGCTGACCTCCGAAGTAACTTAAGGCCGGGAAAGGGTTGAAGAGGTGAGGTTCCTGGGAAAACCCAGATGATTGGAGCTTCTCAGTTCCCAGCCAGGCCCCAAGGCCTGTGAGCTGGAGACCCAGGCACCCTTCAGCCTTGGCAAGCACATAGAGCACGAGCTAGTCCCTGGGGCAACCTGTGAGCGGACACCTGCTCTGTCTGCACATTCTGGCAGGGGCTTGCCCAGGTTTGAGCAACCCTTCTCCCTGGAGGGCCAGGCTAACTCCAGGCCTTCATCTTGCATTGCATACCCAGGCTGCCAATTCCCAGGCCAGCCATTGCCCTGATGGCAGATGGGACTGGCTGAGGTCCTCCCGGGGTTACCTCTTGAGCTGGTCAGGCCTCCCCCGATCTTTATCTGCTTGAACTGCAGTTCCACCGCTCCCTGCAGTCCCCCCCAATCACCCCAAACCCCCAAGCTGCTTTCCTCCTCTGAGAGCCTACAGACCTTACATTCTGTGTCACCCAGGCCATCTGCTGTTTCACCTCATACAATGTTTGCCGACTGACTGATTGACTGTAGCCCCCAGAGCAGAAGCAGAGACTTGGATTTGGGGACAGACTAATGAGGGAAACATCAAAACAAGCTCTACTGGGCAGTGCCAGAATAAGAAAGAAGAGGGCTTTCTGGCACATTTTCATCGTCCCATGCTCTTCTGCCCCCAGAGCGACCCTGAACCAGCTTTGGTCATTCATTCGTTTGAAAAAATGTTTACCAGGTGCTACTACGTACCAGGCACAGTGCTGAAGGCTGAGATGCAACGGTCAACAAGCAGATGCAGCCTCCGATTTCAAAGTGTTTATAGACTAGTCAAAGAGGCAAATGTTAACCAAATAATTACCCAATGAATTAATTAACTACCATTAGAATTGATGCTGAGAAAAATAAGTAAATGCCACATGCTGAGACCAAACACTTGTCAGGGGGAGCAGAGCTGTGACGGAGTCACCGAAAGCTCAGAGAAAAAGCGATATTTTAGTTCAGACCTAGAGATGGTCTTTAGCAGGGAAATGGGAACATGGAAACAGCCCATGCAAAGATCCCGAGGCAGGACGCAGCATGGAACATTCCAGAAATCTGGAGATAGTGTGGTTGGAGCTCAGAGTCACACAAGTAAGAGGAGGCTATGATGAGGTTGGGGCAGCAGCAGGGACTTCCAGGCCAGCAAAGAACTTGGTCTGGGCAGGGGAAATCCAGGAAGTGTTTAAGCAAATAAGGAGCTCTCCGCTTTTAACCTGGCAGTAGGGATTTATCTTCCTGACCTAGACCTGCCTCTTCAAAGGGGCAACACACATAGAGATGTGCTCTTCCTCTCTGCACATCAAGCCAGGTTTACATCCTGCATCTGCTCAACTCCCTGAATGATAACAGTGTTGCCCATCCACTATTTCTTTTGACACTCACAGAACACCCATCGGGTAGATGTCTTTAGCCTCTCTTTGCAGATGAAGACATCGAGTCTCAGTGAAATCAGTTAACTTGCCCAAAAGGCATCTGCACAGTTTTCTGTTCAAGATACTATGGTGGTCTGATGAAAATATGAGTAAGAAAAATAATGAACTCTGACTAGGTACAAGTGCGTGACTAGGTGCAGATGTAAGTGAAGACTACTAAGAGGGAAAATCTAGAAATTAAAAAAAAGGACCATACATTTCAAAGCATAGGAAAACATTTGGCATCAATCTGCTTTTCTGGATTGCCTACTCATAGATAAGCGCAGGCATAAGGATAGGTAGATAGACATGAAGATAGAAATAAATAAGAAATGTAAGGAAATCAAGGGTTAAAATAACTCAAGATCTTAAACTACTGGGTTGGAGTGATCACATTTTATTGACCTATGTGCTGGCTGTAAGACGCTTCTAAATTAAGTTTCAGAGTCTAAAATTTAATAAATACATAAATAGATCTCTTCACCTAGAAATGCTCACTATTTCAATGTCAATTACAACTTAAATTAAAATGGTAAATAATAATAATAAGTGGACATAATTCCTAGATCACAAATTCAGGTTTGCAAGAAATGTTCCTTTCTTTTATTCCACTAATTACCTCATTGCATTGTCTGGAACCCTCTTAGGGCTAAGGTCTGGGCTTCCACTCCATCAAAAATCTATTATCATTGCTGATGTCTGTTCATAGGAAAACACAGGGCCAAATTTGCACACACAAAAAAAAAAAAAAAAAAACAGAGAAGATTAAACTGCGTCTGAGGCTGGGAGCAGTGGCTCATGCCTGTAATCTCAACACTTTATGAGGCCAAGGCAGGCGGATAACCTGAGGTCAGTAGTTCAAGACCAGCCTGATCAACATGGAGAAACCCCATCCCTACTAAAAATTAAAAAAATTAGTCGAGCATGGTGGCATATGCCTGTAATCCCAGCTACTTGGGAGGCTGAGGCAGGAGAATCGCTTGAACCTGGGAGGCAGAGGTTGCAGTGAGCTGACATCGTGCCACTGCACTCCAGTCTGGGCAAAAAGAGCAAAACTCCATCTCAAAAAAAAAAAAAGAAAAGAAAAAAGAAACTGCATCTGAAAGAAAGACTTGCTTTAAAAGCAGAGAAGAGGCACATTCAGGGGCAGAAGTTGAGAGATGGGGCAGGCCTGTCCTCTCTATATAAAACATCAAGTGCTGGAGTTGGGCTCAGCATCTGAATTTGACACTAATGCAAAATTCTGTAGCCAGAACTTCGTACAAAGCCACAGGGAAACTGAAATTTAGAAAACAAATCTTTAGTCCTATGGCAAATTAGTCATTCAGTGAATTGATCGTTTGGCAAATTGGCTTTTAGCAAATTGATTTTGGGTGTTTAGGCCTGCTCCCGGAAGGCTATCCACAAGCCAGTGAAGTGTGAGGAGCCTGGTGGGTGGGAACACCTCCAGGAGCAGGTCTCTCTCCATTGCCAGTCCGGAGAAGGGCCTCCAGTTTCGGTGGAACCCAGGAGAGTTCATAAGAAGCACCCTTTCCACAGTCAGTTGTCAGAAAGTCCTACAAAGTGTGACTTCCACAGCTCTGCAGAAGCAGAGCTAACACGTGCTGTATTACAGGGGCTATGTTAGGGTCTTTGCATTTAAGAATTTGTGCAGAAAACTGAAGCTCAGAAGCAAGAGACAGCTCCCTTCTGATCCATACAAGTAGAGGGTAGCAGGCCACAATCTGCCTGACTCCAGAGGTCACGGAACATCCCCCACATCACGTTGCCTCGAGCACACACCAATAACTGCTGTTTCTATTGGGCTCTGTGGGTGGCAGAGGGCTATGCCCAGGAGGTGTTCCTATGGGGTTTCACAAACATCATGAATATGAAATTCTAAAGCTGACTGTGTGAGAAAACTGAGGCTCAGAGAGTTGATGTGTAGATTCTGCAGGTAGCCCTCATCAACAGGTTCCTATGTATCTTTCCAGAATTTTAAAAAAAAACAGGACCTCTCCTGAAATAAACATACATAAGCTTTTAAAAGAATTACATAACTGGATTCTTACTAACATATTCTTCTCTGCACCCTGCTTTTCTCATTTATTAAACCATCACTTACTTTTTTTAACAACTGCACTACATTCTATAGTATGAAAGTACCAAATGTAT